GCTGAGAGACCTGGGGCTGTTTAGTCTAGAGAAGAGAAGACTACGGGGGGATCTAATTAGTGTGTATAAATATACACAGGCTGGGTGTCAAGAAGAAAGGGGCAACTTGTTTTCACTTGTACCCTGCGATAGGATGAGGGGCAATGGATACAAGGTGGAGCACAGGAAGTTCCACCTCAACATGAGGAAGAACTTCTTTACTATAAGGGTTCCAGAGCACTGGAACAGGCTCCCCAGGGAGGCTGTGGAGTCTCCTGCCTTGGAGACTTTTAAAATCCATCTGGATGTGTTCCTGTGTGAGCTGCCCTAGACTAGACGGTCCTGCTCTGGCAGGGGGGGTGGACTTGATGATCTCCAGAGGTCCCTTCCAACCCCTAACATTGTGTGACATGAAAGCCTGTACAGGAATAGATTTTTATGGTTCAGCTCGACTCCAGACTCTCATCTTAACTTCACAGCAAATGCATAAATGTAGCTACACAGCGAGGTGAGCTAGTACAGTGGTTTCCCACAGTGCAGAACAGTTGCCAAACACTTCTTCAAGTGTCTGGACAGTTACAGAAGCATGCCATATCTGAAATCTCTCTACTGACTCTTCTGTTAACATCCTTGACACCTAATTAAATCCCCATTATTATTTTACCTTAAATTTCAGCACATACAGTATGGGGGCAAATGTCTCGGTGTGGACGATGGGTGCATTATGAGGAAGGCCAGTCACAATGGTTGGTTCAACATAGTTTCCAGGGCGATCTATAACCTTCAAAACACATAAAAGAAGAAACAATTGAGCAATTTCAAACCAGTATCCTGCTTACCACTAGTGTCAGTAGTAGTGTCAGTGTTCATAGTCTCATTTCTGTAGCTGTGCCTAGCAACCAGACATAGCTGGTCAGGTCATCCGAGTAGGTAACGTACATTTCACTCGTTTCAGCAGTTAAAATACAGAAGCATTAACTGAAGTCTACCAAGGAGGTAATCATATCTCAAAAGCCTAGCAGTTGACATTCCACTTCCTTTCCTCTACTTCTAATCTGATTAGTCAGCTTCAAAGTTATCAGCAATAAAGAAGGTTCCAGTGAAAGATAAGAATTCTCAGAACATTAAGACCCTGAAAATGAAACCTTCCACATGGTGAAGATGTACAGGTGGCTCTCTTGAATCTTCAGTTTTTATTTTCTGGTTTGATATTGTGAATCCAGGGACAGAGCAGCCATTTTTTTCTCTGTTATGGGTTGGATATTTTCACCATCACTTGCATCTAGGGAGTAATGCAAGAAACAGTCACAAGCTCTTAGCCATTTTTGGAGGAGAAAGTAGCTTCCAAGTAGATCCATCTTCACTTGCAGAGCTGCAATTCAAATATTCTCACACTGACTTAACATCCTGTAATGGCTGACAAGGCAAACTGAAGTACAACCTTGGCCTAAGCCACCATGTTACTGTATTTTTTTACCTAAAGCACTAAACATAGCAGGGAGAATGAAAGTCAGTCACCTTTCCACCGTAGACCACAGTGCCACCCTGTTGTTTTGCTTGTTCTACTGCATCAAGGAACATTTTCACTGCTGCTTTGGTATGAAGAGGCCCATACAGAGTGTCAGCTAAAAACAAAAGATCCAGAAGCACACTTTCAGCAAAACAGTATACCTTTGCAAATATTCTTATCATGACATTTTGGGAGTAATTATTTAACCTGTCCACGATGAGCAGTATTAGCTGGATTCTTTATCTCCCATTCAGAGTTTGTATTCTAAAAG